CCCCAAAACCCCAAAACCCCAAAACCCCAGCTGACTGAATTTAAGCCCCATTAATTGAATTTTGACTAATTATAAAAATCTAATTAATTATTATATCAAATAATTATTATTTAGTCAGTCTTCAAATATTTCTAGAATGGAGAGCTAATAGAATGGCAGAAACACATAGTCCACATAAAATAATGAGGAGCCCAGCAAAAGAATTAAAACATAGAGTCTATATAGCACATCTTCAGTTCTTGATAATCCAAGAGTTAATGAATAAAGAATACCTTTTGACAAATTATAAAACGTTGATGTAAATAATCTGAAAATTTAAGTTGTAAAAGCTTTGGTGCCAAGAGATTCAAGCTAGAAATTTACAGTCAGTTCATCTTATTTTAACAATAAGTTATAGGTTTATCACATTTAAACGCTGCTTAGTGGAAAAGTTATTGGGGAGTAATATAAGCGTTACTGAGATTTAGAACTTCTAGACTTTGAAGTAAGGATCACTCTATTTTAAAGTATTTTACTTAGCTGAGAAGCATATTTAGAGGAATTTAATTTCCAATTTTACCTAAAAGAGTTTAAATTTCTAAGAAAGTTTAAGATAGAAAGCAATATATACAAAATGTAGGTTAAATACTCATTGAAAATGCTTAAAAAGGCTTAATGATCACAGAAATCCTAGCATTTATTTATGAGTTTTTTATTGACTTCATGCCAAGTGCTAAGATTTTAGAATTAGACACCTAATTCAATAACAAGATGAGATGGTACTAAAAAATATTTCGATGATCAAGAACTATATAATCAAATGATGCCGATGAAACTGAAAGCTTATATGAACTACCAATTAAAAACTTTAAAGATAAATATAGAGATGAAGGAAAATTGTAAGGTAAATCTACCTTTGGAGAAGTATATAGAGTAACAAGATTAAAGGATTAGGCTCTATTTGCTATGAAAAAGATTAAATAAAGTGCATAAAAATATCACCTAAAAGAATTAAATATCATGATGAAAATTGATAGTCCTCATGTAGTAAATCTTGAAGATGGATTTATTAACAGGGATAAAAATGGATTAAATCTTGTGATATTTACTGATTTAGCCTACTCTAGTCTGCACACAGAAATAGAATAGGGTCATCTTTAAAGTGAGTAAATGATCCTAAATTATTTCGTTTAAATATGCCAAGGTCTCTTTGACATGCATTCTAGAAAGTTCATTCATGGAGATATCAAACCTCATAACATCTTAATTTATGATAATCAAACTGTAAAAATCTGTGACCTTGGTTGCACAATAAATATGAACGTTGAGAGTTAAAGAAATAGACTTCACATGGTAGGGACTGAGATGTATCAACCTATTGAATTCTAAATTACTGGCCAAACATTTGAGAGTGAAATTTATGCACTTGGCTCAGTCTTGCATGAAATGATGTATTACTATCCTCCAAATAAAAAAAAAGGTTTAGACAATGGGAACACTTCCTCAAATTTAGTAAAAGTATTCTCATGAATTAAGAACTTTGCTGCTTAAGATGCTTGCACATAATCCATTAGATAGGCCAACTATTTCAGATATTCTAGGAACAAATATTGTCTTTCAAAATTAAATGAATGTAGCATTAGAAGCATCCGGTAGAACTGAAATCCTACAAAATTAAGAAATTAAGGTAGAATGGTTATATTATGAAAACTCAGATTAGTACTTTGGTCAGTTTATAAAAGATAGCACTATTCCTCATGGATATGGAATGAAATTAATAGGAGATTTCATAATTCAGGGCATTTGGATAAATGGATAAATTAATGGTTAATTTCGTCTCAAAATAGATAAATTCCAATTTAAGGAGGGCTTATGCTGAAATGGTATTCCGATGGGTACTGTTTTAATTAAAAGAAGAAGAAAAGTCTCAAGATATGAAACTCTATCAATTATCAATAATTCACAATTTTTGTCAATTGGCTCTGATGGGAAAAAACTCTATGCAAATGAATATAAAGATTGCCTTCCTTGCGGTAATGTTAAGTTGCTGATGAATGAATAGTTATTATTTGAAGGTACTTATGAAAATGTCCTACCACATGGTTAAGGTATTTAGATTGATTCAAATAATGGGAAGTATGTGGGGAATTTCAGAAAAGGTATAAGAGAAGGCTATGGTTTGTACTATTATTCTAAAGATAATTTCTTTGCAGGTATGTATAAAGACAATATGTAAAATGGCTTGGGGTATAAAAGATTCAGTCAGGGTTAAATTATCATTGGTTAATGCAAAGAAAATAAATTTAATGGGGAATGCCAATTTTTTATTTTGAAGGAATCAGATGAGAAGAAAATCAATACTAATCTAAAAATATGGCTCCTTTCATTTAAACCTGTTGAAGAGTAACTAATGCCAGAATCAATTTTAGAAATATTTGATACCAATCAGCCATATTATCTAAAGTATTCAGGATAATTTGTGGATGATGAATTAACTGGATAAGGGGAATTAATGAATGATAGAGGTGAAAAATGGGTTGGGTAGTTTACTCAATTTCTTCAAAATGGAATTTGCACTTATTACAAAGATGATAAAATGATATATAAAGGCGTTTGGATAATGGTAGAACTCTAAGATGAAATTGAAGCCTGATTAAATTTATAGCGATATTATAAAAGATAGATTCTAATCAAATTACAAAGGTTTTAATAAAAATTGACCTTCTATGATGAAATTTTATTTGATATTTGTTTGATTATTAATTTTTAACTATAATAAAATAGAAATTTAGCTTCAAGGGGTTTTGGGGTTTTGGGGAGATCGGAAGAGC